CGCTACTCCTCCTCCTGGCATTGCTACAGAAAACTAGTTCTCCCCCTCCTCCTCCTCCTCCTCCTCCTCCGCCTGTTTGCGGCTGCTACTATTACTACCACCACGGGTGACAAAAAAACACTACTCCTCCTCCTCCTCCTCCTGGCATTACTAAATATTATACTCCTCCTCCTCCTCCTCCTGCTGCTGCTACTACTACTACTGCTGCTACAGCTGCTGCTACTGCTATTGCTACTGCTGCTGCTACTGCTGCTGCTACTGCTATTGCTACTGCTGCTGCTGCTGCTACTACTACTACTACTACTACTACTACTACTACTACTACTTCTACTACACTACTATTCCTTCTTCTACCACTACTACCACCACCACCACCACCACTACCATAACGACCGCCACCACCACGAGCACCGCCACCATCAGCACCAGCACCACCACCAGCACCAGCACCAGCACCACCACCACCAGCACCAGCACCAGCACCGCCACCGCCACCGCCACCCCCACCACCACCACCACCACCACCACCACCACCACCACCACCACCACCACCACCACCACCACCACCACCACCACCACCACCACAACCACCACAACCACCACAACCACCACAACCACCACAACCACCACAACCACAACGACAACCAATACAGCAGCAACAACTACCACTTCCGCCATTGCGATGGCGACCACGTCCACGACCACCACCGCGACCACGACCACTGCCACTAACAACTACAACAAATACAACTACTACTATACTACCAGACGACTATACGACGACGACGACTACTACTGTTACTACTTCGACGACGACTACGGCTATTGCTAGTACTGCACGCCCTTCTTTTACTCCTTCTGCTGTTACTGCTTGGCTACTGCTAGTTCTACTACCTGCCTTGCAGCTTCTACAGCACGACTCCTGCTGCTACACCTGCTGCTACTGCTTCTCCTACTACTGAGCCGCAACTGCTACAGCTACTGTTGCTGGGTGCTGGTTTGCAACAACCACAACAACTGCTGCTGCTCCGCGAGACGCCTCTTCTACCCAGATTCTACTGCTGCTGCCGCTGCTGCGACTGGGACAAAACTCGAAAGTCCAACACCAGTGCTGCTGCACTACTGCTGCTGTTGCTGCTGCCTCTGCTGCTGCTGCTGCTGTTGTGGTGGCGGTGCTGGTGGATTACTTTTTTCGCTGAGGTTCGTGCTTGGGCAGGAGGCAGCCAAGCAGGAGCAGGCCGCCATGCTCCCAAGGCGCAAGTCACGGCTTCGACATGCGTTGGAAGAGAAACTTTCAGAACAGGAAACATGCAGACGGATCTTTTATCCGAACGTAAGGCTGCGGCAAAGCGAAGACATCTTTGAGTCTCAGCCCGGGCCACGGATCGAAAAACCAAGGCGGGTTTTGCAGTGATGGGAACGCTTCCCTTGGCACAGTTTGGTTCCCAAGCGCCCGCTCGGTTACAGCGTTCCCAACTTTTCCAGACATCAGCCATGGCCGTCCGTCTTCTCTTCGCCGCCATCTCTCCTGCCTTGGCCCTGGCTAACCCTTGCGCCGGCCTGTACGGCGCCGAGGCCCTCACCTGTGCGTGGGAGGCTGATGTAGGCACCTGTATCCAGAACGAGTGCCGCGGTTGCGGAGGCGAGCAATGCCAACACTGCCGTCAGGACAGCGAGCGCATTCATCAGTGTTGTGACAAGCATTGGCACTCAACGACGCCGCCCAAAATGTGCGCCGATGCTGAGGTTGAGGAGGATATCAAGACCTGCGTCGAAGAGCAATGCCACTGCTTTGGTGGGGAACAGTGCGATCTTTGCCATGAGGATGCTGCCCGCATCGCTCAGTGCTGCGCCAAGTACGACGCAGGTGCACAGCCAGAGATCTGCAAGGTGGAGCAGCCTGATGTTGACCCCTGCGCCGGCCTGTATGGCGCCGAGGCCCTCACCTGCGTGTGGGAGGCCGATGCAAGCACGTGCATTGACAAAAAATGCGCTGGGTGCTCCGGAGAACAATGCCAGCTTTGCCATCAAGAAGCTGCCACAGTGCACCGGTGCTGCCAAGAACATGAGCATTCCACAACGCCCCCCAAGATGTGTGCAGATGCTTTCGTGGACACATGCCTGGATGAGCAGTGCGACGGATGTGCGGGAGAGCAGTGCCAGCTTTGCCGCGAGGATGCCTCCCACATCGAAGGGTGCTGCAGCAAGTATGAGGCAACAGGCGCATCCGGCATCTGCGCGGCCCGTGCAAAGCAAGCCATTGTGCCGTGAGAATTTTGAGGGTGCAACGTTTTTGGAATGTGTTGGGCCAGTCGGTAGATGTGACTCAACTAATTCATTTGCGAGATAGAGCCTCTTTAGCCATCATGAGAAATACTGTTTGGCTGATTTTGGCTGCTTAGGACAGAGACCGAGTCTCCATCATTTAATTCCCTCCAGTTCCCATCCATGCAATCCCTGGGCACAAGCTCCAGCCATGAATTGGCGCATGGTTTCTGGGTTGGGTCTCTCTTCTGGTTTCGCTTAGAGCTGCCAGCTCGAAGCAGCGCACAGACTCCAAAGACGCTTTCATGGCACGCAGACGTGAGCTGTCAAAACGTTGTGTGGCGCCGCCTCTGGGCCAAGTGCCTCTTGGTTTCGCCTGCATCGCATTGCGGCGTGGCGCTGTGCTTTGAGGCGGCGGTTCTTCATCCAGCAGCATTTGCTGCAGCATGCGGCCTGGCCCTTTCAGACGGAGTTCTGTGCTGCAGAGCAATGTGCGTCATGAGTCCGTGAAAATTCTGAAGTAGCAAGTACACCAGCATTAGCAGTATTGTCACTTTGGTCCTCTGCGGGGGTAGGATCTTCCATGACACGCGAGCGGCGAGCTTGAGCGCTTCGAATGCCTGGCTCAGTGCGGACATGTCATGACATAGTGACACAGTGTGTAAGTCTAGTATGGATTAGAGGTGCCGTGTAAGCGCCTCAGCCGAAACATCGGCGTTTTGGTGTTTCGTGTATCAAGATCTGAAGACATTAGCTGCTTAGCTGTTACCAAAGGGTGTAAAGTGCCAGCCGATGGTTCACGTCCGCCTTGTGCCCCTGGGGCCCATGTCCGTGTTACAGGCTTGCGCGATCGAACTTGGGACTTGCGCACCGAGCAGACAATAGAATGACACCATATCAGGACGGGGTAATTATAGGCAGGAGGGAGTGCACAAGCACCATCATGCAGAGGCAGCAACCTGCATGGGGATGCCCTCTAAAAAGATTAAAGGGCCACGGTTAAAATGAACGCCTGGAATGAATCCAAGGAATGGGACTTTTGGTCAAAACCGCTGCGGACGAGAATTGTTCGCACTACTTTGTGTAGAAGAGAACGAGAACGTCATGACTCATGACTATATGATGCTTGATTGTCCGATGTGGCAGCTGACTTGACTATGGGCAAGGACTTTTGGATGATTGAGTTGCTTTCCTGCTTGTGACTTGATGCTTTGCTGGCGACTGTGGTCATTAGTCACACCATGAGTTGATGCTACATGCCTGCTAGTGCATACATGCACACAATGCCCAGAAGGCAGGAAAATTCGATTACATCCCATCATCATGTTTTCAATCTCATTCTGTACACGTTTCTGTTTTTGTCTCTCGCTCTCTCTCTCTCTCTCTCTCTTTCTCGCCCTCCCTTGCCTCTCTGCCTCACTCTGCATGACATAGCCGCACGCATGCATGCATACGTTGGCCAGGTCTTCAGACGAACCCTTGTGCTTGAAGTTTGAATACCTCAGTTTGTACAACGCTTGAACTATATTTAGTACGTAGTGTAGTTGGTGCCTACTTCCTCGTTATGACGGCACATGCGAAGCCTGATTGAATATCTGCGCAAGTGACACCCAACGAAAGAAGCCCTTCTCCCTTTCCATCAGATTTTACTGTCAGACCTGTAACGGGTATGTATTTTGCCGTTGGAGATGGCTTGAATGCGGGACCGGAATGATCATCAGCTGTAGCATTTTCTGTCATCGCACGGCTTCTTGTCTGAATAATTGAATCTGCAATCTATTGAAGCTCGACTAAGCTAGACTCAGCTAGACCTCCCCGATCGGCAGGCCGCCAAGTCTTGGGCGTGAGAGCCTATGTGCGATGAATGGAGCTCTTCCGCCCAGCAGGCCTGTAGTTCCAGATAAGTGGTCAACTCATAGCCATACCTGTGGTTTTCCAAGTTTCGTTTGTTCTGTGAGATTATGCTGGTAGAAGAGTCTCGTAGAAATTCTTAGTGCGAGATGCCTGGAATTGCTCCCGGCAGTCGAGACAGTATCTTGCTCGGTTCTGATTCAGTTCCCGCACGATTTTGGCTCAGTCGTCTTACTAGGGCAGGTAGAGACGCGCAGAATGAGTCGTCAGCAGTTCCTCCAATGGGCTGTGCGGGAGATCAGGGCGCACGTTAAGAAGGGCAGGGCAACCAGGTTGCTGGTCCTGTTGCCCGAGCACTTCTTCTGAAAAGAAGCAGTTTTCAGCCTGAAAAGGTGGCAGTTTGTGGCCCTAATCTACTAATTACACTAGTAGGATCCTTCTTATAAGGACCCCCAAAAAAGCCACATGGCAGACTCACAGCTACTAGTGCCACCCTCGGCTTTAGAAGCCTTGGGCCGAGGAAGAGCCGCATCACCGCCATCCGGAGCAGATCTTGCGACAATGACATGGGAGACTTTGAAGAAGGCTCTGGGCTCTATGTCGGTTTATAGCAGGAGGGGGAGGAGTAGTAGAAGTAGGCACCCCCTCTACGAACTACACTTGAAGGCTAAGAGCACATCCGTTAACTCGGAATTTACGGGTGCGTTCGCAATTTCCTACCATACCGCCCGCTCAGGTCCTCAGGGGTAGTGGTGAACCCCTTCTTGGGAGAGCTGGCTTCAGACTTCTAGTCTCCAGTGCTTTTGGCCTTAGATGATGTTGTTGTTGCTCTTATTGTTTTTCTTATTCTTGTTCTTCTTCTTGTTCTCGTGGTAGACAGTCGTAGTAGTAGTAGTAGCAGTAGCAGCCTCCTCAGCGGCAGCAGGCTCGAGTAATCAGCAATAGTCGCAACAGTACTGACTGCAGATGTTGTTGTGCTGTCAGGTCTGACTGCCTGCGCGGAGGTGAGCCTGGAGTGCCGCTGCTGCATCTGCGCACAGAATCTGCCAAGCGACGCTTCTGCGATGCCAGCGTGTCACAGATGTTTCAATACGCCCTGGGCTTAGTCGATATGGCATCACAGCAAGTTGAGTGCGAAACTAGTCACAGTTGCAGAACAGCGGTACTGCTAGTCTGAATGACGAAAGAACTGCACTAGCCACAGACTTAACTACACAAAGCACGAAATGCAATATCAGAAATATTGACAATTCGACATAGGCGGTGGGGGTGGTGGTGGTGCTGGCGGCGGTGGTGGTGGCGGTGCTGCTGCTGTGGTGGTGGTACTAGTAGTAGTAGCACCACAAGTATTTGTACTACTTCTTCGTCCTAGTAGAACAGTAGTAGTAGTAGTAGTAGTAGTAGTAGTAGTAGTAGTAGTAGTAGTAGTAGTAGTAGTAGTAGTAGTAGCATTAGTAGTAGTAGTGGTAGTCGTAGTGGTAGTGGTAGTGGTAGTAGTAGTAGCAGTAGTAGTAGTAGTAGTAGTAGCAGCAGCGGTAGCAGTGGCAGTAGCAGTAGCAGCAGCAATAATCGGTGTAGCGGTAGATAGCAGTAGTAGGTAGCAGTCGTAGCAGTAGTAGCAGCGGCACCAGCCGTAGCCGTAGCCGCAGTAGTAGCAGTAGCAGGAGCAACAGCACCAGCAGTTGTTGTCGTACTAGTAGTCGTCGTGGAAGTAGTAGTAGTAGCAGTAGTAGTAACAGTAGTAGTAGTAGTAGTAGTAGTAGTAGTAGTAGTAGTAGTAGTAGTAGTAGTAGTAGTAGTAGTAGTGTAAGTAGTAAGTAGTCAGTAGTCAGTAGTCAGTAGTGAGTAGTGAGTAGTGAGTAGTGAGTAGTGAGTTGTGAGTAGTGAGTAGTAAGTAGTAAGTAGTAAGTAGTAAGTAGTAAGTAGTAAGTAGTAAGTAGCAAGTAGTAGTAGTAGTAGTAGTAGTAGTAGTAGTAGTAGTAGTAGTAGTAGCAGTAATAGCAGTAGTAGCAGTAGTAGCAGTAGTAGCAGTAGTAGCAGTAGTAGCAGTAGTAGTAGTAGTAGTAGTGGAAGTAGTAGTAGTAGTAGTAGTAGTAGTAGTAGTAGTAGTAGTAGTAGTAGTAGTAGTAGTAGTAGTAGTAGTAGTAGTAGTAGGTAGTAGTAGTAGAAGTACCAGTAGTAGTAGTAGTAGTAGTAGTAGTAGTAGTAGTAGTAGTAGTAGTGGTAGTGTAGTAATAGTAGTAGTAGTAGTAGTAGCAGTAGTAGTAGTAGTAGTAGTAGTAGCAGGTAATAGTAGTAGTAGTAGTAGTAGTAGTAGTAGTAGTAGTAGTAGTAGGAGTAGTAGTAGTAGTCGTCGTCGTGGTGGTGGTGGTAGTAGTAGTAGTAGTAGCAGTAGTAGTAGTAGTAGTAGTAGCAGTAGTAGTAGTAGCAGTAGTAGTAGTAGTAGTAGTAGTTAGTAGTAGCAGGAGGAGTAGGAGTAAGAGGCACAGTAGGAGTCAGCAGTAAGAGCAGTAGTACCAGTACTCACTCGTAGCACAAGCAGCAGTAGTAGTCGTCGTTGTGGTGGTGTTAGTAGTCACAAGAGCTCTCCAGAGAGCCTGCCATTCCCTGCACTGCCAGAAGGCCTAGAGGGGTGTGGTGTGTGTGTGGGGGGGGGACACCCCCCCCAAAAAAGTGATATGATTTGGTCTGGTTTTGGGCTGCAATCATGTGATGCCGTCAAGCCATGTGCGACAGGAAGGGACAGATGTTGATGCGTATCATGGCGGACCTCGCCGAAGAGTTCGACCCCAACCTGTATAGTTTCGGAGACATAACCAGGACACCAGAAATCAGAATGGTCCGGGGTTGCACGGGAGGACGGGTTTATGCAAGAGAGTGCTACCTGCTCAGACCTGTTGCTGCGCATGCAGGATTGTGGTTGCCAGGCATGCTGCTGCTTGCCGTTCACAAGCCGAGAAGAGGAAGCAGGTCCGAGCGGTCATCGCCAAGAACAGACGTCGTGAGCAAATCGCATTGCATCAGGAAGCATCACGCAGCCTGGGCAGAAGAAGGTTTTTTTGGCACCTTATTTGTGTCACCGGTTGCTTTTTTTACCTCCGAAGCCAGAAAGGCAAGCGCACCCTCCGCATTGAGAGCCTCCGCGACGCAATGGGCGCCGAAGCCTTCAGTGACATGGTGGAGAGCCAGCAATGGACGAGGAGAAATCGAGCCGGCCATCACAACCAGTGGTCTCAGACCTATGCATGGTGGTTGTCTCAGGAAGGCGAAGCATACCGGCAAGGCCCACCATTGCCTCGACCAGATTTGGTCATGGATAACCTCCTTCCTCGCCGAAGTCGGTTGGCTGACCCGTTGCAGCAGGTTCTGCATTGCTTGACCCCACAAACGCAGGTGGCTAGGGCTGCACCTGTGATGGAACTCGTGGTCCGCAAGGACGCACTCGCCCAACTTCTCGCGAGAGCTGCGGACCGCATCATGGTTTTCAGACTTTCATATAAGAGAGTGGCATGCTTTTCGTCGCCAGTAGTTCACGATACTTTGGGTGGCCGCGGTTTTAGACCCCAGAAGTCAAATCAGGCTCAACAGCTGCCAGATCTC